GAGCACCTGAGAGAGTGGGCACCTCCCAGAACATTGTTTTGTGCCACTCCCAACAGAAATACTCCAGGTGGACACCTCCAGCAATCAGGAGCTCCTCAGTTGCTCATAGTAAATCCCACCTTGGAGTTTACAAAGACTTATGGGTAGAAAAGCCACACAAAGTAATTTACTATACCACAGATGGTCTCTGGGAAAAGGTAACTATGGGGAGGAAGTGGGAGGGGAGCTGTATGGAAAGTGAATTTGCTCTGTAAATCTTCACCCAAATCACAATTAAAAAAAAAAAAAAAAATCACATTTAACAAGCTCTTATCAGTTACAGTAGTTTGGAATACTGTCATCTTGAAAGTTTGTAGTTTATATTTTATTAAGCTAGAGCTCTGGTGGCATAGTGCCTAAGGCATTTGACTGCTAACCAGAAGGCTGGCAGTTCAAACCCACCAGCCACTCCTCAGAAGAGAGGTTGGGCAATCTACTTATGTGTAGTGATACTGTCTCAGAAACCCAAGGAGGGGTTGCTATGAGTTGGACACATGACTTCCTCCATTCTTTGATACACGTGCCTTGTTTTTTTGAAAACGTGATGTATAGGGGTTTTACTCATTTTCTAAAAGAGGATCAGAGATGATATCTATGTTTTAATTCTTTAATATATGACTTTATAGAGAAGAGGGAAATAAATCCTTATTCCTTGAAACTGTGCTTCCTGGCAGTGATTTCTTGAGTTAGGGGTGGGAAAGGGATGGAGATAATGAGAGAGAGTGTGTGGGGTTTGAAAGCCAAATGACATTTTGTGCTGTAGCTTTAATTTGCTCTTAGTCATGATGCTTAATTTACATTGACTACTAAATAAAGTCAAAGAGATTATGGGAATTTTAAGTTTAAGAAAGGATTTGGGGTCACAGCGTATTTAAAAATTGAGAAACACTGGTATACGTAATATGTTCTGGAGAGGATTACTCCACTTGACTTGGAATGTAAATATCACATGGAAGGTGCAGGAGAAAATTATCTGGGTGTTTACATGACTATCTTGATGTCTTGCAAAAATATTACAAATACAACATATTAAACTATATAGCATATTCTGGTAATATATTACTGTAATACTGTGTATACTATATATGTATGTGTGTGTGTGTGTGTGTGT